AGGAAGAAGAGAAGCGAGCCAGCAAATTGTCTTCCAAGCAAAGGTATGGCAGTGTAGGTGTAAGATGACTGCAGGACCACACAGAGGGCTTTTGGGGACATCGGCTGAGGACTACTGAGATGGCCCCACCATGGAGCCAAGGGCTAGAATGATGAATGTTTTTACTGTCCTTGGGGGAGAATTGTTCCTCTATCTTATGTCAGTCTGTGTGAGAGGCCATAGTTACAAAGTCAGGTAGCCAGTAGCTTCTGGGCATACTGAGCTTGGTGACCATCCTAGTATCTTAACTGCCTCTGTTGGCAGCCAGTGGAGGGTGTTGAAATATGTGGGGTGTAAAACTTCTCTGTGCAGATCCCAGGCTCCTGGCCTTCCTCCTTTGCCCTCTTTGGCCTTCAGAGCCTCAACCTGACCCACTGCTGCTGCAGCTTGGGCCAAACCCTATTGTACCCTAGAGGAGAGTGTTTTGCTTGGGCCACTGGCATACCACCTCTTCTGGGTGGTGACATTTGTGTGCAGATCAGAATGTGGCTTCTTACCTGGTTGTCTGGGCATTGAGATCAGACTCCTGGACTCTCTGGCCCATTGAAATTCCCAAGTAGATCTGAATCTCGGTGAGGTCTCTCATGCTGGCCCTGGGAACATGGTCACATGGGTATCCATTGTTTCCCTTGGAAGTTGCCAGGGGCTGAGCCATTGTGGGTCATCTGAGGTCTAGGGTCTGACCCACTTCTGGGGATCCAGCATACTGTATGATCCTGGTCAACTGTGCTGGTGTCAGCATGTGAGTACTCCCTGGGCTCAGCACAGCAGAGGCTTGCATGTGTACTCAGCTGGCGAAAGTAATCATAAACCACACCAGGCACAGTCTGTACAGAATTGAGGCCAGAAAGGGTCCCAATTAGCTGGAATCTAGGGGTGACTTCTTTGCCACCGGCTCTCCCACCTGTGCTCTTTAACTGCCTGCTCTGTGTAAAGCTGCATGTTTGGCAGGAGCCTGTGATGTAGAGGACCAAGAGCACTGGAATAGGGCATCATTGTGGGACTTAGGGGGAGGGACAAGGCCTGAAGTGGTCAAAGGAGGGTCCTTGAGAATAGGGCTTACATATACCCCTCCCACTGGCTCCCTACGTCCTTTGGGCAGGTAACGTTTCATTCCGTGCTGAGCCATAAGAGCTTCTCTGCACTGCATGTTTTGCGGCCCAGTTCTCTGCCAAGATCTCAATGGCTGTCTCCAGTGCATCATGTGGGAAATCTAGAGTTACTAGGTTATTTATGCATCTGAGGAACTGGGGCTTTTTGTCAGTAGCTCTAGATTCATGGGACAAAGGCCCCAGGTAAACAGATTACTGAATCCCCAATGGCATACCCAGATATGAAGTCCATATAGAAATGTACTGCTATGTCGCCACCTCAGGACAGGCCTTCGTTATGACTTGGGTTCCTAAAGATATAGTAGAGCTGTCACCACATCATCCATAGCTGGTGTCCACATTGTCCTTTCTTGGTCAGCTTGGTCCTTTCTTGGGAGCTGAACAGAATGAACCACATCCTAGTAAAGAGCACAGAGAGATGCCAAGAGGCCCCCTGCAAGGTAAAGAGTTCAGCCACTGTAGAGCTTCTGAAGCACTGTAGTGCTGGCTTCTAGCATCTAGATCAATAGTTGACCTAAGTGTGTTCAAGGGAACCCAGATAACAAGTGTGGGTACCCTGATCACCCTAACCAAACCAGCAGGACTTTGGTGTCTTTTCCACCTCATAGAGTGGGAGCACTTGTCGGGAGGTCCTGCAGCACACTGGCCATGGCCTCTCCCCATTGACGCAGGTTGTCCCCTAGGTACGTGCAGGCGGTCATGCAGCGGGGACGTGCCTGTGTCAGGCCAGCGTGCACGCCAATGCTGAGCGTGGTGCCAGCCGTGTCGGACTTGGAGCTCTCCGAGACAGAGTATGTGCGCCTGAGGGTCCCTCAGTGCTGCCTGCATGACCTGGCCCAAGCCAGGTCCTGAGGTGGAGCAACTTCTCTGGAACATAAGCTCAGATACTTGAATATTCCTTCCTGTCTGCTCAAAGAACAAGGGCTGCCCAGCATGGCGGTAGATGGCCAGTGTCCACATAGGCATCACAGCCTGCCTTTTGTTCTGCCTCTGCCTCCTGAGGTCTCCAGTCCAGGATTCACAGCCAGTGCCAGTCCTGAATGGAGTATGGGTTGAAGTATGATGCCTTTGCAGTGACACCAGGGAGCTTGAGGCACAGCTTGCTGATAGTGGTGTCTGGATGATTTGACTGCTCAGGGCCAAGAGTGAGGCCACCACCTTCACCTGGCATGGCTATACATGGGTGGTGTGGATATTGCTGACCGCCCCTTTCCTGTGCTTCAGCATCCTGTGCTTTAGGTGCTGTACTTGGCACACTCCTCAGTTGGCCACCAGCTCTGCAAAAGAAGTCCCTCTGACAAGTGGGCTCTCAAGATGCAGTGTTAGGGTGTGATGCCAGGAAGCAAGTGCCTGCTGTACAAAGTAGACAGACACTTCTGGTATCTGGGCCAAGGAACAGGAGCTCCTTTGTAGCTTTCCTGCTTTGAGGCTGATTCTAAGAGTGTCTAGTGTACCCATCTGGTCAGAGCCCTGGTTCCTGGGGTGGCTTCTGGGGTAGCTGGAGGATGTGAAGGACAGAACACTGCCAGTCACCTGACACCATGTGGCCATGCAACCTGTCAAGACAGGCAGGGCCCCTCAGCCTGGGCTTGAGGCAGCACTGGCCCTGTTCAGCTCTAGGGGTCTGGCTGGCTGTGGCCTGTGGGCAGTTCACTCAGAGACCTGTGCACAGTCCTCATTTCCTCTAGTACCTGCCCTTACAGATGTCTTCAAAGGCTTAGGTCTCAATCTTAGTAGGGTATGAGCAGGCAGACCGCTTTGCCTCTGTGGAGGTGGGACTCTGTGGGCTAGCAACTTGGCCTGATGATCTGGAGAAGCTCTGTGTCCACATCAGTCAGGTGGGGAGTGCCACTGACCAGCCAGACTCCTCTCCTGCAGCACCCTCAAACCTGAGGCTCCTAGAGTATGTGCCCCAAGGAGTCAGCTAACCATGTGGTACAGTGTTGGCATAGGGGCTATGTCTTGCCATGACAGGTGTTGCCCTGGGGTGCCCTTGACAGGTACTGTGAGCCTTGGAGGGGGCACCCTTGGGTTCTGGGCCTGACCCCATCCTTCCCTTCACTATTCTGTCTGCCCAGGATGAAATCACAGAGGAAGATGGGCAGTGGGAGTGCCCAGCCGTGTGACAGCATCGTAGTGGCTTACTACTTCTGTGGGGAGCCCATCCCATACCGGACTCTAGTGAGAGGCCGTGCAGTCACTCTGGGTCAGTTTAAGGAGCTGCTGACCAAGAAAGGCAGCTACAGGTAAGAAGGGGGTCCGGGTGTACATGTGCTGGCCTTGTGAATCCTGATGTGGACCTGGGCACTTCTCCCCTTTGGGCAGATGAGTGGGCGGTGTCAGGGCCCCATTTTAAAAGTGGGTCCATGTGTGTGCTGGTTTGACTTAACAGTATGTGCCTAGCCTTCCCCACTGCAGCTGGAGCCTTGCAGTAGAGCCAGTGGGCAGATGGTCTCAACAGGGCCAAGACTGCTGAGCCCAGTTTAGCTCACAACAGGTTGATCCTGTGCCTACTGAGTGGCTGTGAAAATCCCGTGACTTTACTGGCTGATTGGGGGCATGCATATAACTGCCACTCCTCTTCTCCAGCACCCTCAAACCTGAGGCAGGACCACCAGGGGTTTGAGGCACTTCCTCGAAAGCTGTGGTCACAGCCCCAAGATGGGTTTAGCAAGCAAGCACTAGATTGGGCTGATCTGGCCCTAGGAGAAGCCGGCACATGTTGGGCAGTGGTCCAAACATAAACATTAGTCCTTCCCTGAGCACAAGGGAGGGGCTGACCATCCTTAGTGCCTAACCTTCTGTGGCTATCCTCTGTCCCCAGATACTACTTCAAGAAAGTAAGTGATGAATTTGACTGTGGAGTGGTGTTTGAGGAAGTGAGAGAAGACCAGGCGGTGCTGCCTGTATTTGAGGAGAAGATCATTGGCAAGGTGGAGAAGGTGGACTGACCAGCAGGTGGCCACACCTAGGACATATGGTGCAGCATGCAGCAGTGTCAGCCCAGCAATGACCTTGTATCCAGGAGCCTGCTGTGTGGGGGTGGCATAGAGCTGCACAGCTGCTCGTACTGTGCGTGGTCACATGCATCCTGGGAAGGCCCAGGTGTTCCCCCATCTGCCTGTGTTTGGGCGGGTAGGTCTCTCTCTTGGTCTCCCTGGGTATGTCTTGTAGGAACCTCACCCACCCCATAGCAATACTTGGAGTCCTCAGAGCAGGGCGTCTGGCCTGGATCCCTTATAACAAGCCTCGCATGCTGTGGACTTACCCACTATACCTAGTCGGGCCCAGGCCTGGGTGCAGGAGACCCTGCAGGTACCTCTGTAGATTGTACATGTCACCGAGTGCCTTCAACACAGCTCGTCTCTTGCCTGCCACTGTGTGAAGCCAGCAGCCACGAAGCCTTGGCCCTTGCTTCACCTGTCTCCAGCTGCCAGCTCACCGGGCCGGGTCCCTGCTTTCGAGGGCCCATGTAAATATGTACATTTCTCAGGCCAGGGCCAGCAGGGGGCTGCCCGAAGCCCATTTTTCATGCCATGACTTGTACAATTATCTTTTCAAAGGTACTTGGATAACAAGAAATAAAACAGTTTTTGAACTTGCCTAGGCTTTGGAACGTGCTTCTCTGCAGCCAGTGGGGCCTGGCTGTTGGGTGTGCCATCAAACATGAAACGAAGGGAGGCCACACTGGAGGGGAAGATTCTGGGCAGCAGCTAGCAGAGCAGGCAGAGTCACAGTTGAACACTCCAGGGCCCCATTCTTCCCACCTGCAGGGCATCCAAGAGGGAATAGCCACAGGTGGCTGAGGCAGGACCAGGGTCCAGCCTTGCTCAGGAAGCACACACAGTCTAGGACCAACTTTTCTTTATTTGCAGCACACAGCTCACTCCACTGCACCAAGACTCCAGGGAGATGCTCCAGGGCAGCTACAGCTCCTCTTTGGGCCCCAAGGTGGAGTTGTCTGGTGGCTCCTAGAAAGGTCAGAGGCTCAGCTTTGGGCTCTGTCCCAGCCCACCCTGCCTAAGGATGTGTCCTGGGCACCTACCGGAAAGGGAGTCTCAGGCTGCTCTGTGGGCTCTTCCACAGGCAGCTTGCCCCCGGCATCCAAGAACTTGGAGAATGTCTCTAGATCCCTGGCACTTTTGTATTCAATCACCTGGGGAGGAATAGGAGAAGCTAGCAGGGTCAGCCATCCCTAGGCCACTGTCTGACCAGAGTCAGGGTAGGGGTATGTCGGGATGGGCCTCACCTTCCGACCTGGCCCTGCTGGGAAGTACTTCAGAGTGGGATAGCCGTGCACTGCAAAAGCCTCCAGCTCGTTGGCTGTGGCATCCAGCTCAGCAATGACAATATCCTCATGGTCTTGGTACCTCTCAGCCAGTGCCTCCCAAGCTGGGGCCATCTCTTTACAGTGGCTGCACCATGGTGCATCTGTGGGGTATGTCAGGCTTGGCCAGCCACATCCTCCCTACCCTACCCACTTCCCTCTACCCTTGGCACTCACAGAACTTCACAAACACATTCTTGGTTTCATCAAAAGCCACCTGCTCAAAATTCTTGCCCACAAGGATCTTAACAGGCCGCTGATCCCAGTCAGGGGGAAGCTCCTGGCTCAGCAAGTAGGGCTGGGGGAAGGCAGGGCTTCACTGGGAGCTTTGTAGGATCAGGTTTCTAGAGTGCTGTACCCTTTCCTCCCCTGCTCTTGGGTAGACCACCAAGCAGCAGACCTTGACTTCACCACTGAAGACTGAGTGGCAGAAGGCAGCCACAGAAGCTGCAGTGACCGGGACCCCATCTGTGGGTGCGTACTTCTTGGTGGTCTCAACGTTGACCAAACGCAAGGTGGGGGCCTCCTCAGCCTTGAGACCGAAGTACTGTAGCACGTGGTCATTGTTGGCAGCCACATCCACCACCACAAAGAGAACCTGCCAGTAGGGAGCCCATGTTGTATGTCTCAATGCCTAGGGGCCCCTCCTTTCTTGCCCCCCAGTACCTGCCCCCGGAAAGGGGGAGCTGCCTCCCTGAAACCAGCCAGCAGCTCTTGATGTTGGGCCAGGGTCTGGTTCACAAACAGCAGCAAGTGGTTAAGTATCCGGGCAGCGTAGATCTTCTGGGATGTCTGCAGGGTAGGATTTCATGACTCCTGATCCCTACCTGCACACCTCTGCAGAGGCTCCCAACTCCCATGACCTTTCCCACTGGCCTCACCTGTACCTGCAGCTAAACTTACCTGCTGGTTGAACTCTGTGACCAGGTGCATGCTGTGTGTGACCAGGAAGCGGGACAGATCCACCGGGTCCAGGCCAGTCTCCTCATCCATTGGGAAGTCAGCTCGACCTTCATCAAACTGATGGGGAGCTCAGCAAGAGCTGCAGCCCTGACTCTGGCCCCCACCACTGCCCTGACTCACCTTCTTGAAGAGGACTACTGTGTCCTTGGTGAGGCTAAACTTCTGAAAGAGCTGTGGTTGGTCAGTAAGGCCAAAGGTTATATCTAGCATCCCGGGCCAGGGCTAGGAAGGTAGCCACGTCCTCATCCTGCAGGTCCTGCAGACACGGCCCTGTGAGGTGGGCAGGTGCTGCCAGTACTGTACCAAGGCCCAGCCCCCACATCAATTCTTACCTGGAAGAAGCCGATGACCACTATGTCCCAGGCATCTATCAGTGCCTGAGTGCCCTCTTCATCCTTGAGATGCGTGGCACTGGGCCCCACCCGCCGCCTCAGCCATTCAGCAATGCCCTCAGCCTCCCGGGGCCCTGTGGAGAGGCTTAATCCCTCAGCCTACGCTTAATCCCTTTCCACCATGCCCCACCCTGGGCTACACCGGGTCCTCTCACACCTGTGTACTCCTCAGGGTTTGTGCGGTTCCCATCTCGGAAGAACTTGAGGGTAGGGTACTCTGTCACACCAAACTCCTCCATCAGCTCCAGCTCTGCAGACCCATCCACCTTGGCCAGTGTAACTGGGGCTGACTCGGCTGCCAGCAGAGTGGCTGCTTTGCTGTACTCAGGGGCCAATGCCTGGCAGTGCCCACACCATGGGGCATCTGGAGGATGAGGCCATGAGTGCACCAAGCCTCTTTGACCCCAGCCACAGTCCCTCCCTACAGCCCAAGCAAGGAGCAAGCCTGGCTTGCTCACAACTTTCTTCAGGGATACCGAGTCTTGACATCAACTTAGCTTGGGCACCAGAATGAAAGACTGAAGGCCCCAACTCAGGGCATAAGGAATAGCAAGATTTGGGAGCATTTGAGGAGCATACTCTCCTGGGCCACATGTGGCTACCTGTAAGGCTTGCCAGCCAGGAGTGGCTCTGGCATTTGTAAAGTATTATTAAAAATAAGTACCAGAGGGGCTGGGGATTTAGCTCAGCGGCATAAGCACCTGCCTTGCAAGCAGGTGGTCGGTCGTGAGTTCGATCCCCGGTACCAATAAAAGATAAAAAAAAAAAAAAAAAAAGAAGAAGAAGAAGTACCAGAGAGCCAGGTATGGAGGTGTACATCTGTAATCCCAGCACTAAGAGGCTGGGGCAAAAGGACTGCAAATAGGAGCCCAGTTTGGGCAATTTAGCCACTTATGTCTCAAAATAAAAAACAGATAGGAACATAGCTCAATGTAAATGTCCTGAGTTCAGTCTCTAGTACTGAAAAAACAAAAACAGAAAAGACACATACCACAAGGGCCTACGTGGCCACACAGCCTGGACAATGTGCCTTTGCACAGTGTGCAGAAAGACCACACTCCCAGCAGCATGGAAATGTGGCCCCCAAGGTAATGACATCACCATGCAGCCACAGTTGTCCAAGCAGAGGAGCATGGGTTTACTCATGTCCCCTGGGACACCCTACATGATTACCACTCCTGCCTAGACCTGCCCCCACCAGGTCCAGCCTTGCCCAGGGCTTCCCGTCCCAGGGCCCCTGTGGAAACCCTGAGGTATAAGAGGCAGAACAGCATGGGGCTTAAAGCCCCAGACATTGCTGTGATCCCCAGCACTCAAGCCCTGACACTCACAGAATTCCACCAGCAGGGCCGGGTGTTCCTGCAGTGCCAGGCTCAGGGTGCGGTTGCTCAGCACCAAAACCCCGTCCTCTTTGGGAACTTCCTCCCCAGGGGGCTCCTTTGGGACGTCCTCCAAGGGACCCTGTGGATCCTGTCCCTGTCCCCATGGGCCTGAGACTCCCAGCAGGAGCAGCAGCAGCACAGTCAGGAGCTGTCTGTTCATGGCGGTGCCAGGCGCCAAAGGCTGGGGCAGATAAAGGGACCAGGGACCAAGCAGTAACCGACACGTGGCACCCTGGCCCCTCTCAGGGAAGATAAAGCTGAAAGGCACCCCCTGGAGGGAGGAAGAGGCAGAAAAAGGCAACACAGAGGGCAGCAAGGCAGGGCAACCTTTAATGGGAGTCAGGGCACAGAGCCAGGCTGGGGGGCTTGCAGGGGTCACTGACCAAGGGGGTGGGGAATGTGTGGGGACCCTGTGCAGCAGCAGACAGGTGGGGACAAGAGCCCCAAACGGGGGTCAGTCCTTCCAGTCCTGGCAGATGTGGAGGCCCCACTCCCAGGATAGGTGGTTGGTCCTGTCGTCATCGGTGAAGAGGGACCTGACGACATAAGGGCCCCGCACCAGCATGCCCCTTGGTGCCTCCTCCACTGGCGTCACAAACTCGTACTCCTGGGCTCTGGGGCCATAGCTGCCCACCATGTAGACGGTCTTGTCCACTGGGGGAGGGGAGGGTGTCAGGGGCTACCCTCTGCCTACCATCCCCCCAACCCCCAGGCTGTCCACACGCCCTCACCGCGCAGGCCCCGGCGGTAGGTGTGGTGCAGACACTTGAGACCACTGACGATCTCCCTGTTGACCTGGGGGATGGAGGGTGTTCATGGGATCTTTTGGAGGACTGGACCATGGTGGATTGCCAACCTCACCACCACTACAGCTGCCCTTACCTTGAAGCTAACCTTCACTTGGTAGTCAACACCCTCCTTCAGGACAAACACCTGGTTTTTCAGTGTGGCCAGGTCCCCTGGTAGGGAAACAGTGGGGCCAGTATGAATTCTGGATGGGCTGAGATCTGCCCAGCAGCCCCCACATGGGGAATGGTGCCCATGAAGCCCCTGGTGATGGGCCTGAGGACTCAGGATTAAGTGGGGGGGGGGGGAGTCCTAGCAGGTCTCCATTCCAAAGATGAGTTGTAGGCTGCAGAGGAGAGCTACCTGTGAGGTCCATGGTGATGGGCCCTGGAGCCTGCTCCGACATCAGTGTCAGCCTGGTCACCTGCACGTTGGGTAGGCTTGGGTCTGAGGAGAAACAGTGTCCACAGGATGCCCTGCCAGGTCTTGCCAGTTTTCCCCTTCCCTCCACCAACTCAATGCCCTCCAAGCCCAGGCCCAGCCCATACCCATGAGAGGTGGCAGAGGCCCCAGCAGCGCCTGCTTGTACTTGGCCAAGCTTTCATCCTCTGGGTCCAGTTGCTGAATCTCCAGCATGCTCTTCTTCCCTGGTGCCTGGTACTCAGGCACAGCCTCATCCAGGGCCTCGTCCAATGTCGCTGGCCCACCCTCCTTGTCAGCCAGGAGGACTGGCAGTTGGGAAAGGTTTATGAGCAGTTGCCACCAGTGAACTGTGGCATTCAGGTGCCAAACTGGAGGAACCACACACACACACCAGGCTCTCTAGTTGTGCCTACCACTGCCTAAAGGAACTAAAAAGAAGCCGGTGAGGCTGAGAGAGAGGTAGGGAGGAAAAGCAGGAGGGCCTCTTCCAAAGAGGCCCTGGCAGCTGGCAGTGGTTAACAAGAGACCCACCCAAGTGACATCCTTGGAGGCATCAGCTGGCCACCCAAGGCCCCTCCCTGACTCTGAGGCCAAAGGTGCAGGGATGAAGACTCCTAGTGCGGGGCAGCCCAAAGGCTGTATAGTAGTGGCGCCAGACCCCTTGCATGAGCTCCTAGGCTCTGCGCCCTGTCCACCGCGTTTTAGCTTTAGGGACCTATCTCCCCACCCGAGGCAGAGGCCCCTGCCTCCCTGGTTTCACCAGAGAGCCGCGTGCTCCTCCACTCTTGGCTGCCTTTCCTGTGAGGGTCGCGCCTAAACGAAGACCGCACCCCAGCCAGAGCCAGCTGGGATGCTTGCCTAAAGGTCCCCGCGCGCCCCCTAAGTTGCGGCAGGGGAGGGCCGCCCCGCCCGCGCCCCCCGCGGCCCCCGCCCACGTGGCCGCCGCCCGCCGCTCACCTCGGGCGCACAGCGCCAGCCGGAGCAGCTCCAGCAGCTGCGCCCCCAGCTCGCACGCGTCCAGGCCCAGCATGGTGGCCGCGGGCCGCCGCGGAGCCGCCGCCCGGCTCGGCTCAGCCCCGGCGCGACTGCGGTGAGCTCATCCCGGCCGGGAGCGCCCCCCTCGCCCAGCGCCGCGCCCGCGCCGCGCGCCCCCAGCCGCTCCGCGGACCCCGCGCAGCCCGCAGAGACGCGCGTGTCGCCCGCACGGCGCCGGCACCCGGCCTTCTCCGCCCCGCCCCGCCCCGCCCCGCCGCGCCGGAGCGAGCTGGGTCCCGGGAGGCCTCCCAGCCGGGCGGTGGGACCTTGGCGCCAAGTGGAGCAGGTGCAGCTCTCTCCCTGCGTCCCCGGGCTCTCGTTATTAGCAGGCAGCGCAGGCCACACAGGCCACACCTGGGCTCCAGCAGCCCTGCGCCTCGTTCAGGCTGCCTGGGCAGAGGAGACTCCAGGGGACAGCCAGCCTTGGGCGGGGTTCCGTCATCAACATCGAGGGAACACAGTGGGCTGAGGGTTCACCTGCACAGACACACAAGGATCCCTCATAGCTTACTAATAGCCCCAGGGTGGGTGTTGTGTCTGCAGAGATCAGGAACCCTGACAATTCTAAAGCCCCCTCCCCGCCCCCGCCCTCGCGGAGAGGACACTGACAAAACAGAATCCGGGAGGCTTCTTGATTTGAACACACACTGAGTCCTGGGGATAAGTGTGATGAAAGCAGATGTCAGTTAAGACAGTGGAGAGGGTTGAGCAATGCCCTGGGCTGGGGACAGCTGGACCAAAGGCCTGGGTCTGAGTGAAGGAGGTGGCCTCAGAGCAGCCTGAGCCCCCTGTGTTTTTAGACTCTCCTATCCCCACCCTATTTCTGGGGCCACCCAGGGTTCAGACACACCCTTGTCCAAAGTGCCTCTCTAAGCAGTACTGGTGCTGGTGTGCTAGGACACTTGAACTAGGAGCTTTATCTGCACACACTCTTTCCAAAGCAGGTTCCTACAAGGGAGCCCAGGCTCTTTCCGTACAGGAAATGGAGCTGTTACAGAAGCCACTGTCCCTACTCATCCAGACAAGGTACCCAGCCTAATACTGCCTATGTGGAGCCTTTGGTGACCTGAGACCTAAGGGTGATGTCACCCTTGCCTAGGGCAGGAGCCCACTCCAGTTCCCAACCCCATTGCACCAGTTCATCCTGGACCCAGACAGCGGCAGGAACGAACAACAGCCATGTTTGGAGACTTTTGGCCCAAGGCCAACCTCCTCTGCTGAGTGCCCAGCACCCCTTAGTGGGAATGGGAAGAAGTAGATGTTTTCATACCTCTTGGGGCCAGGGATATAACCCAGTGAGGTAAGTGCCTGCCTGGCAAGCATGAGGTCCTGAGTTTGACTCCGTATAAAAAAAAAAGGAGGTTCTAGAAGGAAGCTCACACATCTCCATACCTCTTATAAGTGGGTCAGTGACCCTGAGCAATGGCCCCGAGAAGGGCCTGGACACAGCTCAGTGTATCCATGGGGTGGGTGAGCTGCTGAAGAAGAGTGAAAGAGCCTGGAATGGGGTCCCTGAGCCCAGTGGCTGCTCCAAATCTGGGTGGGAGGAACTGAGGTAAAAGTCCCTCCCACAGTCCTTACCCCGCCCCCGCACCCCCCTACCCCCAGTGTCTCGGTCTGTTTTCCAACTGGCCCATCGAGCCCTGTGCAGTGGAGGGGACTTGAGCCACTCTCTCCCCAGTGTTTGAGACCTCTGCAGGAACCTACAGCAGAAGATGGGGGATACCCCAAGTTATCCAGTGTCACTCCAGGCAACCTCAGACCACAGCAGAGCTGTCACATTATTGAGTGCTTGTAGACTCGTCCAACACACTTGCTCAGCACAGGAGGAGTTGGGTACCCTTCCTGGCACCATATATTCACAGGGACACACTTGTGGAACCCCATAACCCTAAACACCTATATCCTTGCTGGTCCTGCAGTCCCCACACATTGCTGCCCTGATTTCTGAACCCTGTTGCCCACAACGGGAGCCCACCATCCTGGAATTATTCCTTCACATCGTGTGACTGGTTAGGCCGCGGCCGGGAGGGTTAACTTGCAGAGGGGTGGGGCGGGGCGCGGGGCGTGGGGCGGGACCGTTCGGACATCAGCGGCGCCATGGCCATGACCTCAGGTTCTGGGACCCCCGGAGGGCGCCCGCGAGCGCAGAGGCCGCACCTCAGCAAGGTGGGCCAGGGTTCCCCGGCCTGCAGGCACCTGAGGGGCCCGGAGGGGAGAGGCACCCTGACCTTGGGGACTGCCCCGGGGGCCGGCCTCGGCGCCCCCTCCCCCTGCGCGTGGATCTTGAGAACCCGGGTCTCAGGCACTAGCTGAACAGCCCCTGACGCCCCACTGCATCCAGATGGAGCGGGTGGTCGTGAGCATGCAGGACCCCGACCAAGGCGTGAGGATGCGGAGTCAGCGTCTGCTGATCACCGTCATTTCCCACGCGGTGACAGGTGAGGTGCGGTTGGCCGGGGTGGAGGTGGCGGTGGGGGTGGGGGCCTCTGCCCACCCAGACACTGCCCCTCCTGCGCAGGAGGCGACGTCGTGGAGTGGCTGGCCCAGAAGTTCTGCATCTCGGAGGAGGGTGAGGGAACCTGGCCAGGAACTGGGTAGGGGGTTGGGATAACCAGGCCAAGCACTCACCTCCCCCACCCACAGAAGCCCTGCATCTGGGCGACCTTCTGGCGCAGCATGGCTACTTATACCCGCTGCGTGAGCCTCACAGTCTGGCGCTCAGGCCCGATGAGACGCCCTACAGGTTCCAGGTCAGGCTCTGCGGATGTCGGCGGGGACCCCTGACCCCGAAGCAGCCCGTGGGATTTGGAGGGGCATAGCTTTCTGGGTGGGTCAAACTTAGATTCCTTCAGCCAGCCTCCTTCCCACAAGGCCTTGACTGGAAGGACTAATTTGAGGTTCAATTTTCTGGGGACACAGAAAATTTGAGCTTCAATTTTGTGGGGCTACAGCAGGACTCCCATAAGGGACAGTGTCTGCGAAGATGCTGGGGCCTCCTGGTGCTCAAGCCCCACCCCTAAAGAAGAGGCTGTGTGGGCGTGAGTCAGGATCCTGGAATCACAGCTTGTGTATTCAAATGTAATGAAACATCCCCCCACATACTCCTGTCCTTCCTGACCACATCAGAGGCCCAGGTCACCCCATGCTCTGACTGTGACTACATTCTAGGCTTGGCCAGGTCCCTATCTCATCCCACCATGAAGGGGAGGCAGCCTAAGGACCCTAAGGATATGAACTGTCTTCAGTTTCAGCTGGAGAGAATGGGCAGTGTCAGCCGAGCTGAGGGAGACTGACCCCCTCTGTGTAGGGTGGTATTTGTGTAGGATACCTGGGATACTTGGGGTAGGGAAGGGCCAGGAGGGCCCAAACAGTCTTCTCCCTGCACCAACCAGACACCATACTTCTGGACCAGTACCTTGTGGCCAGCTGCGGAGCTGGACTATGGTGAGTGGGGTGTGGATTAGCCTGCGACAGGATCCCAGGCCTAGTGTCCTTAGGACAGTAACCACTGGCTAGGAGCAAAGCTTACCACTCTATGGCTTGTTCTTTCTACCCCTCCAGCCATCTACCTGACCAAGAAGAACATCCGAAAGCAGGGAGCCCTTCTGGAGCATGAGAAGGTGGGACCCCCCAGAAGGTTTTGTGGCTAAAGAAATCAGGAGCCCTATAGTGTGCCCAGAGCATATAATCCACACATATGTCACTTGTACCCTGTGTCTGGCTGGAGAGGTAGGAGTCTTTGTCTCAGAGATGGGCTGAAGGGGGCTACCCATGGAGACCTCATGTCCCCCAGGAGCACTATGACCAGCTGCATAAGAAGATCAACCACACATGGGATCTGGTGGTGATGCAGGCCCGGGAACAGCTGCGGTGAGCCCCCTCCCTGCACCATGCCAGAAAGCTCTTGGAAGGCCCGTGGCATCCAGTGGTCTAGGGATCTGGACTCATTCCTGGCTATAGCCTGAGCTGGGGGGAGGTGCTGTGATGAACTCCCTGTCCCCATCTCTTGCCTACTTTCCAGGGCAGCTAAGCAGCGCAGGAAAGGAGACAGACTGGTCATTGCATGCCAGGAACAGACATACTGGCTGGTGAACAGGCCCCCGGTGAGCCCCTTGTGGGGTCAGGTGGTAAGGTTCCCTGGCCAGCAATAAGGGTTGGCAAGCTTCCCTTTTAAGCTCTCAGAACTTCTCATTTTAGCCTGTAAAAAAGGACATGCCATTGAGGGCCCTGGTGTGTGATAGGAGGTTTTTGTTTTGTGACTTGGTTGGTATTGGGTCGAGAGTTGATACTTGGTGCCCTCTCACCTGCTTTTTCATCTGCAGCCTGGGGCTCCTAATGTGTTGGAGCAGGGTCCAGAAAGGGGCTCCTGTACTGGCAGCCGGGTGCAGATGGTGAGTGCCTGCATCACCTGCAACCTGTGCCCAGCTTGTCCACACATCTGACCTCATTCACTCCAACTACCATGGGACTTGGTGGAGTGTCCTCCATCCATCTGTCTGTCCAGTCCACCCAAATGGATCTGATGCAGCCACTCCAAAGTCCCTTCTGATCTCTGCCCCCTAATCCAAGTATCTTGCTAACTCTCATCATTTTTTCCCCTTCCACTGGCTGCCCTGCCTACATGTAAGTGAAAGGCTCTGGGAGAGGGGGAGGCCAGGATAGCATCTGGGTGCACAGAGGGGTGACAGGCAGGGCTATGCTGGGGGATCTGGACTGCAGACACCTCCCAGAGACAGCAGGAGCAGGACAGACAGGTGTGAACAGATTTATGGTATATCTCAATGCTTAGTAACTTCGGCACCCTAGTTTTTCTTTTTTTGGTCTTTTTCCTTTTTATCAGTACCAGGGATCAAACTCACGACTGCCTACTTGCAAGGCAGGTGCTTATGCCGCTGAGCTAAATCCCCAGCCCCCTAGCTTTTCCATATATGAAGGTAGTCAAAGAGAACTGGGACAGAAATTGGAAATCACAAGTATCCTCCACCTCTAGCGTCACATCCAGTGTTGGCTGTGGAGGATTGGGAGCCTGGGTCAGCCAGTCCAGGACTTGCCTTATGGAGCCCATTGTGAGGCACACCTGGAGTTCTGAGTTAAACCAGAATTTCCCAGTGTGATCCCATTAGTAGGATTTCTGCTAATGTATCTTGTTTTAAAAAGAGAAAGAAAGTTCAATCTCCAGTACCGATTTAAAAAAAAAAGAGAGAGAGAGAAAAAAACACCTGGGTGTGGTAGTATACCCCCTGTAATCATAGAACTCTAGGAGGCTGAGGCAAGAAAATAACAAGTTTTGACATACCCGAGCAACTTAGCAAATTAATGAGAACTTGTCTCAAATCTAAAGAATATGGGGATGCAGACGAGGGCAAAGACCCTCTGTTCAATCCCTAGTACACAAAATACATACATACACACATACATCTGAAAATATGATTGCTTAATCATAATTGGGGAACTTTAAGGTAATCTAAATAGCCTGTAGGTTTGGCAGAACTTCCTGAAAATCTCCAGATGGAGGCCTCAAAGTCTCCAGGGTTAGGGTTAGGAGGAAGGGGCTCCAAAGATTGGGGCTGGAGGACTAAACTATCCCATGCCTTGTCCTGGGGCCAGGGCTTGGCCCAACAGGAACTGGGTAGGTGGGATTTTGGATCCCCAAAGCAAGCCTGCATTGTAACTGTCTCCATCTGTTCCCTTTCAGATTTAGAGCTCGGACTTCTATAAGCGGGAGGTAAGACCTAAGGATGGGATGTTGGGCAGTCTGTCCCCAGACCAGGTCCCCACTCACGCTCTGGCTCCCTAGATTGAATTCTCCAGGAAGGCACTGGGCAGGACCCGGGTAAAATCCTCCATCTGCCTTGAGGCGTGAGTTGAGGAGAGGGGTGGCAGGAGACCCCACGCCCAGACCTTTCTAGAGCTTCCTCATCCCTGAGGTTTTTCTCTACTTTGGCCCTGGCCCTCAGGTATCTAAAGTTTAGCAGCCAGCATAGCCTGCATGACCCCATCCTGTCGGGGTGCCTGCCCAGCAATCCCTGGATCACAGATGATGACAGCTACTGGACCATAAATGCACCCATGTGAGCCTGGGTACAGGGGAACTGAGATGTGCTTTTGGTCTGGGGCTGGCAATAGGGCCAGCATTCCAAGTGCCCACTGTTCCTCCAGGGTGGCTGTACCCACAAAGCTCCGCGTGGAACGATGGGCCTTCAGCTTTCAGGAACTTCTGGATGACCCTGTGGGCCGGACCCACTTCATGGACTTCCTCCAGACGGAGTTCAGTGGTAAGAAGCCTGAGTCCTGTGCCAGGCTTCTGGCATTGCCCAGGGCCCTTGGTCTCACTCAGGATCTCTCCTGGTCCAGCCTGTTGAGACAGCAAGCTGGCTGCTACTCAGGGTGGACTACTAACTTGGTGCTGGTCCCCAGCGGAAAATCTCAGCTTCTGGGAGGCATGTGAGGAGCTGCGCTTTGGAGGGCAGGCCCAGATTCCTGACCTGGTGGATGCTGTGTACCAGTGAGTAATGGTGGGCACTGGGTGACCACTGGGCAAGCCTGCCCAGCCTGGACCCATCTTGGGCTGTTCCCATCCCCAGGCAGTTCCTGGCCCCTGGTGCTGCTCGCTGGGTCAACATTGACAGCCGGACAATGGAACGGACCCTGGAGGGCTTGCGCCAGCCCCACCGCTATGTGTTGGATGATGCACAGCTGCACATTTATATGCTCATGAAGAAGGTAGGCCCTGCCAGCCTCAGTGACCCTGCTAAAGCCCATCAACCATCTTCAGTGTTTTATCTACTTGGTTTTCGTCAAAAGTACTTCAGAGGGGTGTCTGCTACGTTCCTCTGCAGCCTGTGTCATTCACTGAGCTAGACTCACAGGCCTATGGTGTGCAATGTCCCAGTCCCACCATACCTCTTGTCTGCCTGCTGGAGCATGTCCTGTCACACTGCCCTTGTCTATCCTGGTTTTCACATGGTACAGATGACATAGCAGAGTCAATGCTTAGTCCTGGCCCTTATCACTTTTAAAAATAATGAGACAGTTTACTGGGCATGGTAGTGCATGCCTGTAATCCTAGTAGTCTGGAGGCTGAGGCAGGAGGATTGCTACAAGTTCAAGGCCAACCTACATAGGTTGTTTTTTTTTGTTTGTTTGTTTTTTTTGTCTTTTCCTTTTTTATCAGTATCGGGGATTGAACTCAGGACCACAAGCTTGCAAGGCAGGCGCTTATGCCACTGAGCTAAATCCCCAGCAGTAGCCAACCTACATAGTGAGACCCTGTCTCAAAAGGCAAAAACAGCCAAGTATGGTGGTGCACTCTTGTAATCCCAGCATGTGGGAGGCTGAGGCAGGAGGATGGTTACCAAGTTTGAGACCATCCTAGGCTACAAAGTGAGCCCCAGGCCAGCCTGAACCACATAATGAGATCCTGTCTCAAAAAGGTCAAAAGACAAAAACAAAACTACCACCAAGAAACCCTACAAACAAATAGAGTCCACTAGTGTCCGTTAAGGGTAGTAAGTAGGACCTGCATTTTTTCTTTTGGTACCGAAACCAAAGACCCATGCATACTAGGCAAGTGTTGTGCCCTTTACATTTACTTTTTTCTTTTTGAGATAGTGTCTCCCTGTGTGATTCAGGATAGCCTTAAACTTGCAGCAGTCCTCTTGCCTCAGCCTCTGGAGTGGTTTATTCATTTACTTATTTTTGTTCCAGGAATCAAACTCAGGACCTTGCAGTTTCTAGGTAGGCACTTGTGCCACTCCAGGCTTTACAGGGACACAACTAAGAAGTATGGGTGTTTTAAGACAGTAGGGGTGCACAGAACTTTCAGCTGGGCATAAGGTGATGGAGACACAGGTCAAAGAAGTCAAGAGAAGAAACTGTAACCTGAGTCTTTGACCTGTGTCTCCGTCACCTTATGCCCAGCTGAAAGTTCCGGTTCTCACCTGTCGGCAGTCTCAGCAACACAGTATGATTCCTGAGAACTATTTTCTTTTTGACTTCTTGTCTATATCCAACCAGAGACTTCCCCTTGAGAGCTCTGGGGTGTGGTTGGGGCTATGCCACCACATGGACATACAGTCTTTATTTCACTCTTTCAATGTGTGGGAATTACTGATTTAAATGTAATCTACAGTTTCCAAATGCAGTATATATAGGAAGACATGTAAATAAGATTCTATCCTAGCCTTTTTACTTTCAACTAAGTTACCTAAATTATGATTTTTGTTTTGTTTTGTTTTGTACCAGGGATTAAATTCACCACCTTTGCCAGGCAGGCACCTACCCCACTGAGCTAAAACCCAGCCCAAACTTCATTTTTAAATTCTTTACTTTGACATTGGTGAAATACTTTTTTTTCTGTTTGTTGTTATTTTTCTGAGACAGAGTCTTGTTATGTAGTGCAGGCTGCTGTGGAACTCACAGATGTACCCCACCACACCCAGCTTTTACTCTTTTTTTTTTTTTCCATTACTGTGGATTGAATTCACCTCATGCTTGCCAGGCAGGCGCTTGTGCCACTGAGCTATATCCCCGGCCGCTTTTACTCATCTTTTTTTTTTTGGTCTTTTTCCTTTTTATCGGTACCAGGGATGGAACTCACGACTGCCTGCTTGCAAGGCAGGCGCTTATGCTGCTGAGCTAAATCCCCAGCCCCATACTCATCTTTTAAAACATGAGCAATGATGGCTGTAAATTTCTTTCCCTTAGCACCATGCAGTTTCTCACCACCTTGCTGTCTGTCACATCCTTGCCCTCCCTCGGTAAAGGCACCAGGTTTCTTAGCTCCTCATTGCTCCTGTTTTGGGGATCCTGGTTTGTACTCCATGTGTGGGCACTGTGAGTCCTGCCGTTCCAGCTCTCTGTGGCCCAGCTGATGGGAAATGTATCCTGGGTATGTCTGACTTGGTCCAGGCTGGCTTTGGCCAGCACCCTATTACTGAAGGCCCTTGTGGGCAGAAACAGCTCCCAATAGTGTTCGGATGGACCCGGCTGAAGGGCAAGGAGATGGAAGGGGCTATGGGTTCGACATGTTCTCTTGCAGGACTCCTACCCTAGGTTCCTTAAGTCTGACATGTATAAGGGCCTATTGGGAGAGGCTGTGATCCCACTGGAGGCAAAGAGACGGTGAGTCTGAGCAGCGCCCTGTGCCTGCCAAGTGATGGGCTCTGCAGGGAGGGGACAGGGTCCTCAGCCACTTGCTTCAGCTCATTCTTGCCCACAGAGTATTCCCGTTTACGTGGAAGCCTCGGCACTTGAGCCCCAGTCCCGCTCTTCTCCCCACCTCTGGGGAACCTCCCGCCACTGGCAGCACTGCAGGTGGGGATGGGGAGGACTAGATGGACTCCCTGTCATGCCCAGGGCCTGCTACCAACATCCTGCAGGGTCACCCTCTCCTGATGACTGCAGAGCCCCCAGTACTGGCACTCTCTTGTGTACAGAGTCCATCCTCTCTTTGCTTTTCCTTTTCCCTACCTGGAAGGGGGTGGCTCAGCTGCCAAGCCCCAGGGAGGAGGTTTCATTGGCCAAGGCTGGACAGGTAGGATTCATTACTGGCAGGATGGCAAGGCTAAGGCATAGACACTTATCCATGAAGATAGGCAGGTCTCTGGGTAGTCTTGCTCCATCCAGGTGAGCTCATCAGAGTTGGTCTAGATGAAGCATTTGGAATGGCTACACACCCCTCTGTAGTCAGTGCTTGGAAGTCTCTCTTCACTGCACACCACACACACCTGTCTAGCATCCACCTGAGCCACAGCTTCCCCACCAGATTTGTGCACCTTGTTGTCCTGATCATGAGGCTCCTGGTCCCTGCAGGGAAGATTTTTGCCAGGCTGGCGGAGCCAGAATCCAGTCCTCCTACCCGAGCTTTCTTCAGAGGCACAGGCATTCCCACTGTGTGTTCCCCATACCTCCAGACTAGACGAACTTACAGGCCAGCTTCTTTTGAGATCACCTCAACCACAGGGCTATTTTTGGCACAGAAATAAAAGATTTTTCTCCCTCACTCTGATCTTATTTTGCTGTGGGTCCAGCTTGGGGCATGTGTGTTTATAAGTGTACAGTTCATGCCTGTGTGTGTGGTGTGAATGCCTGTTGGTGGTAATTGGCATGTTGTGGGTGTACACATTAAATATGGTGTGTGTGCCAGGTGTGGGGATGAGGTGCAGGGATCCAGGCTCTGTAGCATCAGGCTGGGCTCCACCTGCAGCGTTGGGGAACCCAGTTTCTATGACAAGCAGTGGCACTGTCCACTCAGCCAGGCCAAAGTGAACAAGGTGCAGGAGACCAGCAAAGACCAAGGGTACTGCCAAGGAGGTCTGGGGTTGGCAGAGGGCTCCTGGCACTGTTTGGCATTGCCTAGGGCATTGTGCCCAACCTGTTGTGAAGGCCCTAGCATGGCAGTCTCCAGAACCCAAGTGGTCACAAGTACACAGGTATTTATGGACAAGTCTACGGGGCGAAGGCTATTGCAGGAGGAAGGAAAACCTCTGCCTGGCCTCTCAACTCCCATGAAACAGGATTCCTGTCCCCAGGAGCCACCAAGTGACCAGCAGGGTGGCTCCTCGCCAAGCAGGCTCTGGATCCCTGCCTGGTGCAGCTCCTCTGAGGATTCACATGCTCCATCTTGCATTGTGGAAGGGTAGGCTCCAACTTTCCACATTCACAACTTGCCCCTCAGTGCTCAGGCCCTGTGGGTAGGTTACCTTGTTTCTCAGGGTCAAAGGACGCACTTACTGGCATGGCACCCACCTGTTCACCTTCAACCCCTATGCTCCCAAGCAGAAGAATAGGGCTGTACCTGTGCGGCCTCGAGGCCTGGTTCCCAATGAGACTCCACAGCCAGCAAACTCCTGCAGTGCTCTTCTGAGAGCTGCACATTGTTTTCCAGCAGCTTTTTCTCTCAGGAGCCCCTCTTAAGCTCTCTGTTGCCCCAGTGGATACCCCAACCCCTCTGTCATGGCTGTGTGCTGGTTCTGCCTGCCCAGAGGACAAAGATGCTAAGACCACTGGCTGCCTGTCCCAGCTGGGAGACTCACCCTGAGGGACTAAGGCCCTGGCCTAAGCTGCAGGGCCCCTCACAGTGGAGACCCTACTGGAGGCTGTGAGAAAACAACTGGGTCCCATGTCTGTGGGCAGGAATGGGTGGGACACTCACCTTCCTAGTTCCCACCCTGACCTGGAAGCCTGGCCCTAAAATTCCTGGTCATTACTATAATACTTTGTTCCCTGGGGGCAGAGAGACAGGCATGCAGGCAGCAAGCAGACTTATGCTTGGGGCTTTTCCAAACAGTGTAAAAATGTTTATTCTGGTGTTTTCTATGGTGATACAGTCAGGCTGCTTTGCTACAAATATTGGCCCCAGGGCTGGGCAGGGCTGCTGCACATGAAGCACAGCTGCCCTTGGGCCTCAGGGGTAAGAAGGCACAGAAGTGAGTCCCCCTGCATCAAGTATGCAGCACCAGGGTAGGGCTGGGGTGATCATCATGCCAGTGCCACAGGTCCTTTTTAATGTCAGCAGCTTCAGTGTATAGTGAGGGCACTTGTGAGCTCCAGAGTTGGCTCTACCCACCATTCAGGGAGAACCCCCAGCTGAGCCCTGTTCCTTAAACTGCATGGGAGATATTCCCTCTGCTCTGGGAAGGGATTGAGGCTGTAAGGCTTCAGGTTACCCCAGAGCTCACCACCCTATGAGTTCATGATTCGTAGGGGATGGAGCAGAGGACAGAACCAAGCAGGAAGAAGAGGAAGGGATACACTGAAGGCGCTGGGGAGCAGCATGTCCCACAGCAGTGGCTTCTCTGGTGAGAGAGAAGGTGGTGTGGCCAGGGGTTCCCAGTGAGGGTAAGAAGCCACAGGCCTGAGCTCTGCCCAGCAAGAACACAGGAAGGTAACCTGGCCTGCACAAAACCCCAAAGGGGACAGGATGAGACCATGTGATGGTCACGGAGTCCTGGCTAGGAGGTTCAGGGTTTCCCTATTCAAGTCCCTGGGTTTGACATATAAAGCCATGGCTGCCCAGGGGAGACTGTCACTAGACTCAGTGTGGAGACAGAGGGAAGTGTGGATGTCCCAGAATGTTTGGTTTCTACACCTCGCTCCGATACCGCAGCCAGGAGAACCTATCTCTGATGGCCTGGTCACTGTCTGGCCTGCCTTCATCCAGGTGGATCACTCTGCTGTCCGAGACAAGATCCCGCACCTTGTGTTTGATCACAGAGACCAGGCCAGGCACATCCGAGCTTGCTGGGCCTGTCAGGAGGACGTAGGCAGCATGGCGGCTTGACTCAAGCAGGATCACTGTAGGTGACAGACCATTGGTGTCTCTTAGACCAGCCACAGGGGACCTGTGGTTAGGGGGATCAGGCCTAACTGTACTTACCATTGAAGGCGACAGTGTTGGCAGAGACGTTGGCCACCTCCAGCAGGACACTGGGCAGGGTAGGATGGAATATGTACAGACTGTGCCGGGCATCTCTGGGATCCTGAATCAAGGACAAGCAATGAGTTTTGCACTCTGTTATGCCAGGGCTGCAGTCACATCCCACTCAGCCTGTGACTCCAGCATTATCCATGGCAACACTTAGGTCAACCCACAGGCACTGCTGTTAGAACAACTATGCCTAGAGCTCTGTGCCCACAAATCCCACCTGGGGTCTTACAAAATGCTAACTCCAACTCCATACTTACGTGCCAGTCCCCAAACTAGCCCTGGTCTTTCTCAGTGTCTATCAGTATTTGCCCTCCCCACTGCAGTCCACCAGTGCTCTTGGATCTCTCTCATGCATCCCCAAGAAGACCCCTTAGGATACTTTTCCCTCAGTGTCACTTCTAGGACCAGCTCTCACTTGGCTTCAGTGAATCTGTGGTGGCCCAGTCATCAATAGCTTCTGAGGACCCATGGCCTCCGGCTATGACTCTTGGCACTGGGTGGTTCCCTGAGTGACCCATACCATCTCATTGGTGTCAGTCAATTCACGGAGGCCCCAAAAGAAGAAGGCTGAGCGGTGGTCTGCAGTTGGCAGGCTGGTGGATGGCAGGACCCCAGGGAAACTCGGAAGGATCTGGCTCCACAGGATGGCCCCACTGCGGAGGTCAAGAAGCAGGATCTGAAGAAGGAAGGAACACTGTAGTTATCAGGACCTCAGGGCCTACATAGGTGCATAACCCTACCATGCTACCCTTGAAGGCCAGAACTTATTGCCAGTTCTAAAGGCAGCAATCCATGGACTACACCATATCTACTTTCACAGATGGTCCTCAGCTACAGGCAAGGTGGCACCTTCTAAAGGAAAAATACCTACCTGTCTATCAATGCCAGTTCCGTTTTCAATGACCACAGCTGGGGTGTCTGGTTTATAGTGGCCAAGGATAGGTTTTCTAGAAAGAGATTAGAGAAAAAGAACTCACAGGGGTCTCTGTAAGGAGACTAAAATGAAGAAAATACCTGATGACAGGGATGCCACTCAGTCCTCAGTGGCTGCCCCAGGACCTGGAGCTGACATTCATGACTAGCAGCTTCCATGAGCCCTCTATGGGTGGAGGCAACAAAAAGACAGGTGAGAAGCCTCCAGCAGAATCACACAGCCCCTCCAGCCCAGCGCCTCAACCCCTTCACTAGCCAGTTGGATCTGCTGGGATGTGAGGAAGGATAACAGGTGCATCTACCACAAAGTCTGTAGCAACTGTACAGCTCTGGGACAAAAGCTCTATACCTCAGGACCTGGGCTGCTTCAAGGGTCCACCTGGGAGTCAGGTCCTGTCCATCCAGTAGCACACAGGCCTCTGAACTAACGAGCAGCACATCCTGGCCAGCCTTCCCTGGGACATTCATCAGGTAGCGAACTGCTCCAGAGCTATATAGGGGAGTGGGAGGGAAAAGCACAGCATCTTTGGGATAGGTCTCGCATCCAGGAAACCCATCCAGTCGGGGGCTGAGCCCTGTATTGCTCAGTTGGAAAATATAAACAGGACCCACACTGTCGGTGGGTACAAGGACAAGTCCTCAACAGGAACTCTTCTCCTTAGTTTTGCTCAGTGTTTGCCCATTTTGCATATCTGACCGCAGGACAGCCTTAGGGTTCAGCAAGGCCCCAGCATTCCTTGGCCTGCCTGGTTGTCCTGTGCTTCAGACTGTTCTTCACAGGCCTTGGCCTGTGACCTGTGGGAAAGATCCCTGTATGTCAGACTAACCTGGGGAGGAGCCTGTGGGTAGAGGCATTAAGCATGTTTTCCCAGTGGGGGTCACTCTTAAACGGTGCATCTTTCCTGGTCACCTTCTCATAGAGATCCTTCAAAGAGCAGCCACACAGGGAGCTTGCTATTCAAAACATAGAAGAGCCAAAAGTCACCAGAGTCGGGGCTGGGGATTTAGCTCAGCAGCATAAGCACCTGCCTTGAAAGCTGGCAGTCGTGAGTTCGATCCCTGGTACCGATAAAAAGACCAAAAAAAAAAAAGTCACCAGAGTCACACTATGTTCTGGGTCCAGGCATACCCACCTGCCTCACCTTCAATAGCACATGGTGCCACACCCAGTACAGGTGCTTGAGCTCTGATTGTCAGCAACTAACTGGTATCTTCAAAATATGAGCAGGAGCTGAGGCACCTGGTAGGTGGTTGCTGCTTTTTCCATCAGTGCTGAGCTCACTTTTTTTTTTGGTTGTAATGGGAATTGAATTTAGGGCCTTCATACTGAGCTACTGAGCTACAGTCCCAGGCTATTTTGAGACATGGTCCTGCTAAAATAAAATGCTGAATTACCCAGACTGGGTTTGAATTTGGAGTACTCTTGGCTCAGCCTCCTAGAGTGCTGGGATTAAGGGCGTTTACCTTTTTAACCCAGTGCCACCATGAGAAGGAAGCCCACCCTTGTAATGTAGTGGGAGAGCATACCACAGGGCAAGAGAATGTAGTGTGCACCCGTCCTGGTGATGTGAAGAAGGGGGCTGCTGTTTCCATCCATACCGAGGCTGCCTCTGTTGCCAATCTGGTGCCCAGTGCTGCCTGAATAGATGGACCCGCTGACCTACCATGAAGAAGAGCAACAGGAAAGAAGAGAAGCTGGCCCACAGGTAGGATGGCTTTTTAAGGTAAAGCTGATACCTTTTTAGGGTAAATCTCTTGTTTTGGGAAGTGTGCTGTGACATAGGGTCTGTGTCTCTACATGGCATAGCCATGTAGCCCTAGAGGTGCAGGGCAGCTCTGGGCCTGCAGTCTCACTCCAACACAGCAGCAGCACAAGTGGGAAGGGCACTTTCTGGTTGTTAGGGAAGGCACACAAGCTCCCACAGATGGGGCCACCTCACTGCGCTGGTTTCAGCAACATGACTTCAGACCTAAATTCTCTCTCGGAAGTGGAAGTGAACAAGGAGCAGAGGAGAGGCTAATAGCGAGTGGCCTGGGTGATGTGGGAGGACAGCTGGGTTGGTTTGCACCTCCTTTCCCTCTTGGGTGAGGATCAGCAGGTCTGGGGCACCATCACTGTCGATGTCAGGTACTTGGAGCAGAGGGCTCAGGATAGACGTGTTCGCACCAAAGCTACTGGGGTGGTTCCACAGGGTTTCCCCTAAAACCAAGCATACCATCATTGAACACTGTTTCAAATCTCCTTTATAGCAACTCACGTGGTTGTGTCCATCCTCAGGATCCTAGGCCCACTGTACTCTCAGAAACAGAAATAGGTGCAGGCAGACCTGCCAGTCCTTGTCAAAGGACAGACACAGTACTGCTGAAAACACACAGACCCATGGGGCAAACACAGGCTGACTACATGACAAAATCCAAGAGGGGCCTTCCTAGGGCCTCTAATTTTCTCTTCTTCTTTTCATGTCTGGGCTTCCAGCCCTTGGGCACCAAGAACAAGCTGCTCTAGAACACTGAGGTACACTTCCCAGCTCAGATGATGGTACCCAAACTCTAGCACTCCAGGTTCCTGGGGACTCTCCCTTTGCTGGGTCACAGGAATACAGTTTTTTTTTTTTTTTTTTTTTTTTTTTAGGAATACAGTTTTGCACCAGGCAGATTATACTTAAGAGTTGGGCCTACTGAGCACAGGCTCTGACAGGGCACTAACCCATTTGTAGCTGTTTCTAGATCTATTCTTCAATTCTTAAAATATTTCTGGCCTATTCTTTATTTTCTTTAATGTCTTAAAACTATAACTTGCAAGGAAAATGCTAATATCCATCAAGTTCTAAGCACAGAATTTCTTATGGCCTAGGTAAGGTGCCAGGCACCTTCTCCAAGTCACCCATCACATCTTCCTGTCCTGGTGCTCACATGTGCTGTTCCCCTAAGGCTCAGAGACTTGCTCCCAAGGGTGTCTGAGTACTCATAGGCTTGGACATCCCTCCAAGCAGCCACTCTGCACCTTTCCTCCTCAGCTTGCCTCAGCTCCTCACCTCATGGAAGGTGACCTCTGATTGCATTTACTCACAGCAAGATGCAAATCTGAGGTGATTAGGCACTGATACAATGTGTGAGAGCAGCTGAGGAAGCTGGAGCTTATGACTTTTACGTGTTCTCACCTCTATTCAGGTGAGAACCCTGAAAGGTCCCTATTCAGTTGGCCACCCTTGAGGCAGCACTCAGGGCTGACCCCACCATAGTGAGAGCCCCTACCTGTTAACAAGTCAATGGCAAGGAAAGAGCCAGGTCTTCCCACAAGGATGCAGGCAGAGGATGTCTTACTGTCCGATGGCTGGAGCATGGTGCACTCCACCAATACCACATCTTGGACCATGGGCCTCTCCCAGAGCACACTGCCGTTAGCCCCTGACACAGCAGCCATAAAGACACAGGGAGAAGAGAATCCTAGAAAGAGACCCATAGCCACCTGTCAGACCATCTGCCCCAGCCCTGTACCCAGGCCCATCTCCTTTATCCATGACCCCTTAGTCCTCAGACTCATGGGACTCTAATGTTGGCACCAAGCAGGGTGAGACAGCTGAGTATGCCTCCTGGTCTCTTTCCAGTCCTGCTAAAATGGAGGAATCATGGAATAGTTTGCATAACTTCCATCATTTGCTTCCTCTAAACACCATAAATATAGAATTATCCAAAATAAATTCCTACCATTCACTTTCCTCAAATACCATAAACATGAGGGTGAACCAAATCAAAGATCTGTCTTCCTATAGTAAGTCCTTCCTCCAGATAAAATCAGAGTTACCTTCATCAGTGCAGGATCGGTTGGAACTGTTACTACCATTGGTATTTTTATAAAGAAAGACAACATCTCGGATCTTGTCCTTGTTTATGTCTTCCATGACCAGAAAGTCATAGGTGACTGAAAAAGAAAGCCGGAGATTATGTTCCATGGACCATGCCTATCTAAGAGAAGGTCAAGTCTAACAATACTATCCACTTCTCTACCTCAATGGAGTTCGATGCCATTAGCATCTGCCACTGTGAAGTCCCCCAACAAAAGCAGGGACTTTTTACTAGGTCAAGAAATTTCCTCACATCTCTCTAGAAGTGCAAAAATTCTTCATGAACATCACAGGCTGGAAAGATATTATCAAGTGTTAACCTTCAGGAGAAGCATCAAGACATCAGCTATTATGAGTAGGTGCTCTGAATATCTTCTGTTTGGGAAGGACTCTTTCTAGGCCAATTCGGGATTTTGTTTGTTTGTTTGATACTGGGGATCAAACTCACAACCTCATGCTTGCTAGGCAGGCACCCATGCCACTGAGCTAAATCCCCGCCTCAACGTGGAATCTTGACATCCATGCGCCATCCTCATTAGCGGTTAATATGTTCTTTCTTTCAAGGACTCAAATAATCAACTCTGTGCTTTAAAATAAAATCTTCATGGTATTGGACTTGTTCATTTCTTTGATATGACACCCAAAGCACAGGCCACAAAAGAAAAAAATAATTGGATTTCATCAAAATTAAAAACTTGGGGGCCTCAAAGACACCATGAAGATTAAGATCAAGAATTTGGAGAAAAAAAAAAAAAGACACCACGAAGAGAGTAAAAGTCTAGGTGTGGTGGCGCATGCTTGTAATCTCACCATTTGCGAGGCTGAGGAAGGATTGTCATGAGCTTGAGACCAACCTAGGATACACAGCGTGTTCTAGGTTTGTCTAAACTACATAGTGAAACCCAGTCTCAAACAAACAAACAAACAAACAACAGGAAGACAGTGAAGTCAAAATACATATCATGAGACCAGTATTCAGAATACATAATAACTCCTATGATCCAATGATCAAACAACACACCTAGTTGAAAAATAGGCAAAGGATTTAATATGCATTTTTCCTTTTTTTTGACACTGGGAATCCAACTTGTGCTTGCCAGACAGGCACTTATGCCACTGAGCTATATCCCTAGCCCTAACATACATTTTTCCCAAGAAGACGTATAAATGACCAAAACATACATGAAAAGATTCTCCACATCACTAGTCATTAGGGAAATGCAAATCAAAACCACAGAGATATCACTTCAGACCTACTAGGAAGGTTATTAAACAAAAACATAAACAGAAAACAAGTATTGGCTGTTACCTCATATATTGCTGGTGGGACTGTAAAATGGTGCAGCTATTGTGAAAAAAGTCTAGCAGTTTTTCCAAACAGTTAAAAACAGAGTTAGTATGTGACCTAGCAACTTTACTATACCCACAAGAATCAAACCAGGAGTTTAATTATACAACTATGTTTACTGCAGCATTATTCCATGTGACCAAAGAGTGAAAGCAACCCTACCTGTCAATAGATAAATGATAAACTGATGCTGTATGGTCACAAACTTCAGATCAAACAAACACAGACTTTTAAAAAAATCCCTCAAAAATCTTTTTAAAAAACAAATTTTTAAAAAGGGTCTGCCCTAAACATATACAGATTTTCTTGCCTTGTTATTATTCCTTGAACAATACAATATATCAACTACTTAAGCACTTATATTATATTGAGTATCATAAGTAGTCTGAGGTGGTTTATAGCATATAAAATGCTGGGCTTAGTGGTATGTACCGATACAGCCACTTACTCAGGAGGAGGAAGAGGAAACAGGAGCTCTCTTGAGCTTAGGAATTTGAGGCTAACCTGCATAACACAGATACTATCTCAAGTATATAAAGTATATAGGATGATGTGCATGGATTATAGTTATATAAATACTATGCAACTTATATGAGGGACGTGAATATCCTCAGACTGTGGTATCTTTTAGGGTAGAGGTTCTGCAACTAGTAGTAATACCCTTTGGATACCAAAGGATGACTGTATAGCCATACCAAGGAATATGACTCAGCTATATAAGGGAATAAAGCTCTGATACATGTTATGGCATATATGAACTTTAGGATATTATGCTAAGTGAAACCAGTTAGACACTAAAGGACAAATATTGTTTGATTCCATTTATACAACGTATCTTAGAGTAGAAAATCCATAGAGATAGAAAATAGATTTGAAGTTTCCAGTGGCTATGGGGAAACAGAGAGTTCTTACTTATTGGGCAGTTTCTACTGGAGACGATAAAATTCTAGAAATGGTGGTGATGGTTATACAGCATTGTAAATGTACTCAATGCTATTGAACTATATGGTTAAAATGGTTAAAATGCCTAGGCACAGTGGAGCATATCTAAAATCCCAGCTAGTGAGGAAGCTGAGGTTGGAGTAGCAAAAGTTTCAGGCCAGATTGGACCATATAAAGAAATCCTGTTGGGGCTGGGGATTTAGCTCAGTGGCATAAGCGCCTGCCTTGCAAGCAGGCAGTCGTGAGTTCGATCCCCAGTACCGATAAAAAGGAAAAAGACCAAAAAAAGAAATCCTGTCTCAAAACAAAAATAAAAAACAACACCCACAAAAACTTGCAGTTTATTTTCTCTTTTCAAATTTTCTTTCTCAACAATAGAAGTATTGTTGACATCTTATTTTCACCTAAGCAAACTTTTATGGAAGAACAAAGAAGTAATACTTTTATATCAGTTTTTTCCTTCTTTTTCTTTCTTCCTCCTCCCCACTTTCTGTATTGCAGACTGAACCCAGGGCCTTCATACTGAGCTACATTTCTTGCCATTTTTTATTTTTTGAGACAGGGTCTTGCTAAGTAATTACATTGCCCAAGCTGGGCTTGAATTGTGCTCCTCATGCCTCTATCTTCCAGAGTGCTGGGATTTTATGTGTGTGCTATCATGCCTGCCTTTCTTTTGTTTTGAAAAAAGCCAAATGCAAAAAGCAAAACAAAAACCCAAATGCTTCTACCTCCCTAGTTTTCCTCTAACAAAACCTTATGATGTGAGAGATTTTTTTGATTTATGACTGGGAGAGTAAACTATCCAGAATATACATAGTGGTGAGAAGTAGATATTGTCAAAAATACAGACTCTCAGCTTTTGGTGTCTGTTCTCCATCAGTCGAACTTCTCCTTTCCAGAGAAAAGATACAAGTGGCACAGTCATAATTTCATCACTGTTATTGTATAACCAGAGAATAATAATAATCAACGACTCATGTACTTGGGGTAAAATTCATTTTGAAGGCAATTAAATTACAGGAAAGCGAGGTATGGTAGTACACACCTGCAATCCTAGCACTGAGGGAGGAAAATCACTCTGAGTTTGAGACCAGCATAGGCTACATCGTGAGTTCAAGGCTAGCTTGAACCACATAGTAAAATCTTATCTCAGGGGAAAAAAATAAAAAAAATAGAACACATTATTTCCACTCATTACCTTTGTTAAAATTTACCACTACATGTTCAACAGAACAGACCCTAAATGAAGCTTCAATAAGAAATTCTTTTTCACTCCATCAAAGAAGTCATCTGTGCAAAGAGATACAGTAATACTTCAGTTCATGAATGCTCCTGGGATCAGGAGTTTAGCTCAGCAGCACAAGTGCCTGCCTGGCAAGCGTAAGGTTGTAAATTTAATCCCCGGACGCCCTACCAAAAAACCCACAAAAAACAGAAAAAAAAAAACAGAAAAAGTAAAAATGGGCCAGGGACATAGTTCAGTGGCACAAGTGCCTGCCTGGCAAGCATGATGTCATGAGTTTGACCCCGAATACAAAAACAAAAAAACAACAAAAAAAAAAACACCACGCACAAAAAAAGCATAAATGCTTCTGTGCAAATAATTTGTTTGGAAACAAAAGCATTTGGCAAAATTTTGCTTCCATTCACAAACTCTGTATCAGGTAACAAATATGACCATGGCTACCTTTCCTACACAAACAGCCCTCTTCCCCAAAATAATAAAACAAATTAAATTTATAAACTGAGGCACACTGTATTCCGAGGCCATCAGTTCTCCCACCCCTGGCCATGTCTATAGATGCTGCTCTCCCAGAGAAGTGCCCAGATGGAGGCTAACTCAGCTGCTTTTCATTAAGGTCACTTCATGGTACAGAAATTAGCCTACTTTACCTTAGCTGGAGCAGCTCAGGAAGATAGGACTATCTTGCCTGCTGCAGTTTTCACATTTTAGAACAATCATTCTCAATTTTAATGAATTTTCTTTAGTAAAAAAAAGTAACCAACTGTTAACCACATGTACCTGTTTTCCCAACCAAGGCACAAGTTGCTTGGCAGCTCCCTAAAGAGCTGGTAGCCACTCACGGTGGACTCACAGACATGCAATCATGCTCCCCAGAGAAGGATCTGGAACTTCCCTATAAGGAGGGGCCCTGAAGTCTCACCTGCTGCATTGTAATCGATCCTCCACATGCTCTGTGACATTGGTCGGTCTGGACATGGGATGATGAAGGAGACCACAAATACCACCAAAAGACAGATAAACAGTGAAAGAAAAAATGCCACTGTTCGGCATCGGGAGAGCCGGGACTGTGCAGCTGCACTTTTTAAGTTATCTTCATTTTTCAATCTGTTTCCAAGATTTTCCTGTGATTTTCTGTCTTCATTCTTCAAGGGGTGGATTTCAGCTTCTAAATCCTTGTTTTCCATCATCCTGTGCACATCCCAGAGTTTAACTCCTTGTGACTGCCTAAATAAAACAAGGAGTAGTTAAGGTTAAGGCCAGTGGTCCCACAGCAAAAAACTGTGTATGTGTTGGGGCATGGGGCTTTTCCTTTCTAGATTCTTTTAGCAGCCTGGGTACTAAAAGAAGCTGTCACTGTTGGCCATCAACTCAAGAAATAAAAGCTACATAAATGTTTTCAATGTCAAATCTTTATAGAATCTACTTAAGAAGGTTTCTCATGTAGACAGCTCTACAAGTTGGTTACACGGAACCAGTAGGCAGGAGGTTCACCAGGCAGGAGGTTCATCAGCTGATCCTAATAAAGACCATACATTAAACATTAACCAAGCCTCAACTGCATGATTAGCTTCTCACACAGATGCAAAAGAACCCAGGTAAGAATTTGGTGAAACCAACATTTCCACACATGGACTTCCTAGAGTGCTACTGTCCAAGTTCAAGGACCTTTTATTTGGAGACAAGTTTCACTATGTAATCCAGGCTGGCCTCAAACTTGCTGTGTAGTCCAGTCTGGTCTTGAACTCTCAATCCTCTTGCCTTAGGCTTCTGAGTGTTGGCATAACAATCATGGACCACCATGGTTGGCCTAAAGAATCCTCCATGCCCTCCCCCCAATAGTGGGATTGAACCTAGAGCCCTCACACTGAACTATCCCCAGGCCTTTTTTATTTTGAGACAAAGCCTTGCTAAATCACTAACTTGCTCAAGTGGGGCTCAAACTTACAATCCTCTTGCTTCAACTTCTCAAGAGTACTGTGATCACAGGCCTAGCCACCATGCCTGGTATCAAAAAATTTTTGTTTTTGTTTTCATTTTTGTTATTTGAGACAGGTCTTGCTCTGTAATTCACGATGCTCCGGAACTATGTAGTCCAGGCTGGCCTTAAAGTCTCAGCAATCCTTGCCTCAGCCTCCTAGTGCTGGGATTTATAGGTGTGTGCCACCATGCCTGGCTTCAAACAATTTTAAAATAGGCCCAGAGAGCTACAGTCTTGTTCCTAGAGTGACGGAGGACAGTAATTTAATCTGACTGTGTCTTTTTCATCCATACAAGGAACACAGTATCTACTTTAGGAGACTATTTAAAGGGTTAAATTATGCATATAAAGAATTTATAAGAGTATCTGGCACACAGTATACACTGGAACACCAGCTCATTATAACTAAAAGAAGGTTCAAGCAGAAGTCATACGCAGGACAGTGGGTAACACAGGGAACACACACACAGGTGTGAGACACCTCAGTCCTGCTGTGGAAGACACAGTGTGCTGTCTCCTTGCCAAACCCTTTCTGCCATTGGACTGTGGCACCTCAGAAACCAAAATGGAACATGGAAAGCCATACTACAGAAAGCGCATGGCTCCCTGATATCTGAAAATCACTTCATTTATTTATTTATTTACTTATTTTTGTACTGGGGACTGAACTCATGACCTTGTACTTATCAGGAATGCACTTAAGCCGCTGAGCTGTACTCCCTTGGCTGAAACATGTGTTTTTTGTTTTTTGTTTTTTTTTTTCCTCTTTTGGTGGTACCAGTTATTGAACTCACAACCTTGTGTTTCCCAGGCAGGCGCTTACATTACTGAGCTAAATCCCTAACCCACTCTACAAACTACTTCAGCCCTGAATTGTTTCTGCTGTTAGGTGAGACAGAAACAGATGTCACTGTAAACAAATTTCTGTCTTGTATGAGTCAAGACACCTATTATTTTGGTCCTTTTAAACTGCCAAATAGGTGTCCTCACACAAATTACATGGACAGGACAGCAGGGATCATATGGATCTGAGTCAGTTATAATCTTTATTTATTCAAAAAGAGGTCAGCAGCTCAACTCAAGCATTTAAGATAAGGCAGAGGGCAGACAGAAGTGGCCACCAGAGGGCATGGCTGCTACTATATCAGCTCTCTGTGAGCATGGATCAGGAAGATGGTGCTAGATAAAATATTGTTTTTGTTTTTCATTTTGAGACAGAATCTCACTGTGCCTTGAACTGGCCTTGAACTCACTATGTAGCTCACTATGTAGTTCAGCTGGCCTTGAACTATGTAGCTCAGGCTAGCCTTGAACTCACAGAGCTCTTCCTGCCTCAGCCTCCCAAGTGCTTGGATTACAGGTGTGCACTACCATGTCTGGCCTGAACTTTTCACTTTTAAATTGTAACTGTTTTTCTTTAATTAATAAAAATAATTCATTCATTAATGAAAACTGCACATATCTACTAGCACAGCTTTTTTTTTGGTGTGTGTGTATGTGGGGGGTACCAGGGATTGAACTCACAACCTCATGCTTGCCAGGCAGGCGCTTATGCCACTGAGCTAAATCCCTGGCCCTACTAGCACAGCTATAATTTAAAAAATAAAAATGATGCTGGGTATGAATGTGTACATCTGTAATCCCAGCACTCAAGAAGCTTATGAGGCAGAAGGGTTGCAGGTTCAAGGCTAGCCTTGGCAGCTTAATGAGACCTCTATTTCAGAAAGAAAGAAAGAAAGAAAGAAAGAAAGAAAGAAAGAAAGAAAGAAAGAAAGAAAGAAAGAGAGAGAGAGAAAGAAAGAAAGAAAGAAAGAAAAGAAAGAAAGAAAGAAAGAAAGAAAGAAAGAAAGAAAGAAAGAAAGAAAGGGAAAGAAAGAGAAAGAAAGCAAGCAAGCAAGCTTGGTATGTAGTTTAGTGTTTGGGTTTAATTTCTAGTACTAAAGGAAAAAATAAAAAGAGGAATGAAGTTCTGACATAGAACCTTGAAAACATCACAGTAAATGAAATAATGCAGACACAAAATGTCACTTAGTGGCATGACTTCATTTTGTTTATATGAAATATACAGTACAGGTAGATCCATGGGGCACAAAATAGATTAGTTATTGCTAGGAGCTGGGAGATACAGAAGCCACTAATTGGAGTGGGGTTTCTTTTTGGAATAAAGAAAATGTGCTGGTTGCAAACTATTATGAGTGTACCAAATGTCACAATGGAAAATTTTATGTTATGTATGTTGAAAAAGCAATTCTCCTTAGTGCTGAGACATGAGTTTTTAACACTGTGGAGGTCAGAAAAGGTGAGGTTATCAAAGTAATGAGTTGGATACAAGGAAAATCAAACAGTGAGTTATACCCAAGGAACTTACTCAGCTCAAACACTGAATTAGGGGTGGGAAGATGTGGCCAGGGATAATCTGGAAAAGGTAACTGGGGGAAGAGTTAGCATTGGGGCCTGCAGTGGGCCAACAGCAGCAGGGTGCTGCATCAATGCTTAGAACAGCAGAACTGTTCATTCAGCAAATGCAGCTGCCATATTCCTGACAAAGAGATTTAAAATGCCTAAAGAATAATTTCTACTGTAAAAAGAAAGAAAACTGAATGTGAAACCAGATACTAAAACTCTACATTTCTATCTTTAAAGTACTATTGCCTACCTGTGGTCCTACTACTCCAGGAAGCTGAGGGAGAAAGACACAATTGCAGCCTAGCCTGAGTAATTTAGTGACTTAGAGATCCTGTCTCAAAATTTAAAAAATCACCAGTGTAGTAGTGAACACCTGTAATCCCAACTCTTGGGAGGCTGAGGCAGCCTCAAGATTGAGGATTGTGGCAAGTTTAAGTCTAGCTTGGGCTACATGGTGAGTTCTAGTCCAGCCTGAACTACACAGATAAACCCTTTCTCAAAACAAATGAATAAATAAATAAAAATTTTAAAATAAGTAAAAGGGACTGGGGAGGCTAGGAATATGCCTGTAATCCTAGCACCTGGAAGGCTGAAGCAGGAAAACTGCTAAGCTTGTGGTAACCTTGGGCCACACAGTGAGTTCAAGGCCTGCCTGAAGAAATAGTGAAACTTTATGTCAAAAACCCAAAAAAGTCAAAAAAACGCAAGCAAGAACCCGGAGATGTTGCTCAAAAAGACCCAATAAATAAGCCCATCTACTCTACCAGCCCATATGTGCCAGACCTACCTGGTTGTTGAGGTACTGGAAAATATGTTCAACAGCAGATCCTGCCCAGCTGCTGGTGCCTCCGATCACTAGACTTGGACAGAAGAGCTGTGTTTTCATAAATCCAGGCAGATCTAGGGGGATTATAAAGTCAATGACAAATGCATCTCAGGCCCCTGTGAATATGACAGGCTCTGCCACAGCCATAATTATCAGCTTTGGCTTTGCATTAGAACAGCTTGAATGATTTTATAATCACTACTAAATTTTTTTGGGGGGGCCCCTGGCAAGAGTGCTATTAACACTCTTCTTGAGATTCCTCAGGTCCAGTCAAGTGGAGACTCATTGGCCAACAATCTGCCCTTATCTGATCATCCCATCAGAGGCCAACTAGAGTTCTCCTGGCTCTGGAAGTGACAAATCTCTTTCTCCATTGCTGCCTGGAGACAGTATAGTAAAGGGAGGAGGAAGCTTGCTCCCCTCCAATCAAGGCACCCAAAGCTGCATTGGGGTTCTCTTTCTGTTGGAATTCTCAACAAGCTTAGTTAATCCAGGTACAGAACACAAGCTCCTTTGAATTGCTCCTTGTCTTTTTTTTTTCCTTCAAATCTCTCTTTGTCTTAATCATGCTACTAATTCTTTTTTAGACAGGGTTTCATTATATATGATTTACCATATGCAACCTGACCAAACCAGACAACCTGTGACAGAAACCAGAGAATCTAGATGTTCTGTTACCTGGCTTTTGATTTGGAAGCCTGCTGCCACAAAGCCCCTCAGCTCTGAAATGTGGCTTACCTCAGTGGTGGTGAACCTATGGTATGGTGCCACAGCCAGTTGTTTGTTACCACTGAAAGCCCTCAAAGGTTCACTATCACTGATTTAGATACAGAAAGGAAAAATAATCTTTAAATCCTCATGAGTAACAGAGTTGAGAAAAGGATAATCTAAATTTTGTCAGCACCTGAAATTGGTTGTTGCCCTAATATCCAAGGGGGAATGAAGTGATGAAAAGCCTTCAAAAGGCAAATTCCTATTGTTAGAAGCCAACTAATGTAGGTAGCTTGATTAGCCAAATGAACACTTATACTGAACCCATACCAGGCTCTGTCGGAAAGTGCTAGGCAGTCAGACCCAGTGCAACCCTGATGAGAGCTTCATAGCACTTAGGTGACTCGAGCTGGGGAGCCACTTGTACTACGTATTTTTGTGAGAACCATCATTCTAACTGGCAAACAACTGTTTCTAAAATTGTAAATGAAACTGGTCATGGTAATGTAGGCCTTTAATCCCAATGCAGAGACACTGAAGCAGGAAGATCACAAGTTTGAAGCTAGCCTGGAAAACTTGCCGAGATCCTGTTTCAAAATAAAAAACAAAAAGGGCTGGGCTGTCACCCAGTATGAAGACCTGAATTGAATCACCAGCACTAAAAAATAAATAAATTAGCTGGCTGTGGTGGTGCATGCCTGTAACTCCAGTACTTGGGAGGCTAAGGCAGGAAGATCACTGTGAGTTCAAGGCCAGCCTGAACTACACAGTGAGACCATCTCAAAAATAAAGTTTAAAAATATAAAACATATATGCATATATATATATGCACATATATGTACAGATCTTGTAATGTAGGAGTTCCTTTTTTTAATACTATAACAAAATTTTAAAGTACATCTATCAGGGATAACAATGGTACAATATGTTGTGCATTGTCATCCCCAAATCATTCACCCAGGGCACCCAGAGCTTTCAAAAAAAATTTTTTTTGAGACAGGGTCTTGTTTGGTAGTTCAAGCCCACCTTAAACTTATTATGTTAAAAAAAAAAAAACTCATTATAAGTCTTCCCAAAGAATTCAACTAGTTTTTTTTAAACTAGTTTTTACAGAATAGTTTGGATTTTTTTCTTTTTTGGTTTTTGAGACAGGGTCTTGCTGTGTAGTTCATGCTGGTCTTGAACTCACTACATAGCCCAGGATGGCAATCTCAAACTCATGGCAATCCTCTTGTTTCAGCCCCCCAAGTGCTGGGATTGCAGGCATGCACCAAATACCCCGCTAACAACTTTTTTTTTTTTGCATTCTGCCACCAGTTTATGGAATACTCAATTATATTGCATTATATTACAGTAACAAATACAGTGGCACACACAAGATTAACAGTAATCACAGGTGACCTTTGAGAAGCAGACATCAGTATTCCACATGGCAAACTGTGTGGGCTGAGCAACAAGAGTCCATTGCCCTGATGATCCACATGCAGGACTAGGGGGCCCCAGACCATTCATGAGTCAACTAATTGATAATCACTTAAAAGACTGCCACTATCTGTTTGTTTTTTTTTTTTTCAGTGATGATATATTCACTATAAAACACTTTTAGATTCTAAAATAAGTGTGCGGGCTTGGAGTGTAAGTCTGAGGTGTGCACCACCTTAAGAATGCTAAAGGCATGCTGGGTTCCATCCCTAGCACCTTTCTGAACCTCCCCCAAAACCAGTTTCTCCCACATCATTCAGCCAGCATTGTGGTGAGGAATCATATTACCATGGCTGTGGTGAACAAGCTCCAAGAGATCACAGATGCTGTGCTGGAGATTTCAAGAATTCAGAATGCAAGAAATTAACCAGGAACAAATGCCGGCAGGGTTGTGGGGTAAAGGAACCCTTCTCCATTGCTGGTGGGAGTGTAGACTGGTACAACTACTGTGGAAATCAGCCTGGAGATGCCTCAGAAAGCTAGACTTGGAAGTTTCATTCAACTCAGCTATTCCCCTTCTGGGTATTTTCCCAAAAGAACTGTAGGCACCCACGTTTATGGCTGCACTTTGTAATAGCCAGATCTTGAGACAGCCCAAATGCCCATCAACTGAGGAATGGATAGAAAGGATGTGGTATTTCTTTTCTTTCTTTTCTTTTAATTTTATCTTTTTATCGGTACCAGGGATTGAACTCACAACCACCTGCTTGCAAGGCAGGTGCTTATGCCACTGAACTAAATCCCCAGCCCCAAGGATGTGGTATTTCTGTGCCGTGGAATACCACTCAGCCATACAGAACAATAAACTCAGGGTTTTTGTAGGTAAATGGATTAAACTAGAAACCATACTCACAGGGGCTGGGGATACAGCTCAATGGCACAGTGCCTGCCTGGCAAGTATGAGGTCATGAGTTCGTTTCCCGGCACCAAAACAAACAAACAAACCAAAAAACCAAGAAATCATACTCATAAGTGAAATGAATAAGACTTGTATGTGTAAAACAACATGTTGTCTCGCTGGTGTGGGAGACTAAAAGAGTAAATGGGACCCAAAAGCTACAATAGATATGGTAAAGGGAAAGACACTGCTCAAAGGGAAATTACATTGTTGGATCAATCTTGAATGCCTGTATCTGGTAACCTGAGTGGCTTTGCAGATAACATGTACCAGAGTTAGCCAAGTGTAGTGGCACAAACCTGTAATTTCAGCACTTGGAAGGCAGAAGCAGGAGAATTGCTGCAAGTTCAAGACCAGCCTGGGCTACAAAGTGAACTCAAGGGCAGCCTGAATTGCATAGCGAGACTTTGTCTCAAAAAGACCAAAAAAAAAGGTTATATACACCATACTCTATAAAGGCTTAAAGTATATTTTTAAAAGAGGCAATATGCGAAACTTTTTACTTTTATCACATAAAAATAATCTTGAGGGCTCTCTCAAAAATAACCTGCCTCTACAAGATCCTGTCTAAAACAAAAACAAAACAAACTAAAAACATAACTAAATAATCAAACATTCTGAATTAGGAATTGTAAGTATGCCTGTCTACCACGTTCCTTTTCTCCTTTCCTTTTTTCCCTACTCTCTTTACTTCTTTTATATGTGTGAAACTGGGGATTAAACCCAGGAAGCATAAGCTATATTCCCACCAATTTTATTACTGTACATAAAAATTTTGAGACAGGGTCCCTAAGTTGCCCAGGTTGGTGTTGAACTTTGGTTCTGCCTTAGTAGCTGAGTAGCTTAGATAAGAGATATATGCCACCATGCCTGGATGTCTATATAAATTTCTTCCTTTTTTCCTTTTTTTGAGCCAGGACCTTAAGTATGCTAGATAAGAACTCTATCACTGAACTACACTCTTACCCCTTTACATAGATTTTTCAATGGCTGCAGTGGGTATTACATTTATACCCTCTTAATTTATCACAGCTTAAAGATGTCGGCATTTTACTAGCTGGATAAAGTGTAGAGGTCTGAACTCCAAGTCCCTTTGTTCTTCCCTGTTTACAATATAATTGTATTAGGGCCAGGGATATAGCTTAGCGACACAGTGCCTGCCTGGCAAGCATGGGGTTGTGAGTCCAATCCCTGGTACAAAAAAAAAAAAATCCTGCCTTGTAAGTAGGCAGCCGTGAGTTCGATCCCCGGTACTGACAAAAAGACCAAAAAAAAAAAAAAAAAAAAGAAGCAATCGGTGGTCAAATATAAGTGAGAAATATCTGTTACATTTACTTGTAATTTTGCTTTTTCATCCTTCTTTTTCCTCTCCTGTTTCAAGATTTACAATTCCTTTCTGTTCCAAGAACATCTTTAACTAGTCTGTTGGCAGCATATTCCCTTAGTTTTCCTTCATGTGTTAAGGTTTCTCTTTCTTTATTATTCCTGAAAAAGAATTTCATGAGGGAACTTGAAACTTGGTAGGCTGTTTTCTTCTAGCACTTGAAAAATGATAAGCTACATTCTTTTGGCTTTCATGGTTTCTGATGAAAAATCTGCTGCTATTTGAATTGTCAGCCATCACCACCAAAATAATGTGTCAATTCTACCTTGCTGTATTTGAATTTTTCCTCTTTGTCTTTATTTTTCAGAATTTTGACTGTAATGTGTCTTAGCATGGATTTCTTTTTCTTTTTATTTATTTATTTATTTTTTGGTCTTTTTTCGTTTTTATTGGTACCAGGAATCAAACTCACGACTGCCTGCTTGAAAGGCAGGCGCTTATGCCGCTGAGCTAAATCCCCAGCCCCTTAGCATGGATTTCTTTAAGTTTATACTGCTTTGGAGTTTGCTTGGCTTCTTGAATCTGTACATTTATATCTTTTGTCCAATTACATACAGCCTGGTCACTATTTTGGTAAGGGTGAGAGAACTGCAGCCCAG